AGTTGTCTCATCGGCGATCATACCACATCTTCTTATTTTCATATTGAATAGTTTGCTTCCCTTGGTGGTATACATGCAAGCTAAAATGGCTTGGCTACACTCGGCTTTACAAGACTAAAAAGTATGCATATCTGTGTGTTATGTCATATTTGTTGTTGTGGTATAATTAACAGATCTACAGATTTTTCATGTTTATGCAGAAAACAAAAGATAAGAGAAAACTTAGTAGCGTGAGAAAATCACTCCCACGCCACGGAGTTTCTTACTACTAGATACTACATCATGCTAAACGTCTGTATCGCAGTATGCAACAGTAATAAGCGGGAAAATATACGATAATTCTTTATGACAAAAGTTGCCAAAATGATGCTCATGTTGAAATCTCATTTTGCCGCGTTAATTAGATTACAATAACGATTTACGATTTATCAAACATACACTGAAATGAATAATAAACCATTTGCTTTAACAACCCTTGAATTTTTTTTTGAAATAATACTAAAATCCATTTGAAATTTAAAAAATCGTGCCAATGCTTAATATACTAAAAAATAATCAAAAGTTGATGAGATATGGGTTAGTGTATAAAAGTATGGATGTGGGGTTTACTCTAAATGATAGACAAAAATACCAACCGCTTAAGACACACATTAATATGGGTTGGGCTCTTCTTTTTATACTCAGCTCACTTGCTCTTTAAGTCATTTGTTCAAATTTTGAATCAAAATTAATCATTTGTTCGCTGGATGAAAAAATCCGAAACTTCTGGTCCTGTATTAGGCTGCATTTGTTTCGTAAGTCTAAACTTTCGAAGTTCGATGGTATGCCTTTTATTTTTCGACCCCGCATACATATTGATAAACTATTCTACTTTTAATTGAGATTGGTAAAATCTTTAGGGGACACACAATTTTATTTCGATTGATTCAACCGTAAAGGGAAACAATGTTCCCCAAGTTTTTCTAGACCAAAACGCAAAAAAAAAACAAACCAACGAAAATGACTGGAACTAATTTGGTCCCAGATAAGGACGATTGCATCAGCCTAAATTACAAATAGAATAATAACTGCACCAGACTCGTGTAGATTTGACAGGCACTGATCCTACACATACATACGACATGTAGTGTGTATCAGTTATACCGACACGTCAGGTACATGTATGATTGACACATGTATGGCATAAAACATGCACTTGACACGGGGGATAATCTCGGTGATAATCAGCATCATCTATCTGGAATAAATTACATGTACATTGGTCAGCGATCAATTTTTCTTGGTTTTTTTCATTTCCAAGCAATAAAATAACAAAATTCGTTTTGTTTTAAGCAAGGATTTGTACATATCATTGGTTAATTGAAATGATTAGGGTTTCTTTTGTAGTTACAAATAATTATGAAAAATTGATTTGTCTGAATTATTAAAACAAATTGTTAATACTCGATTGTTATGAGAAATGCTAGGGTTTTCTTTGTAGTTACAAATTTATTATAAAAAAATTAATTTGTCTCAATAATTAAATACAAATAGTAAATACACGATTGCCGTGAGAAATGCTAGAAATGTATCCATAAATATTAATTCTCTCTTTTGAAATATGGCGGTATTCGATTTTTCATACGTATAAAAAGTATTTGACGTATACATGTAGATATAAAAGGTATTTACAATATTTACACGTAGATAACGATTATTAGCATCCTATAAAAAGACAAAACAAATCTGTGAAATTATGGAATTATTTCTTTTGAGTAAATTGGCTTGTTTTTCCAATAGAGACCGCCTAATTAGCAGTACAAACAAGATCAATTTAGATATACTTTGATCTTTTAACAGTCAATCAATGCAGGATTAGCTCTCAATTCTCTCGTTCTTCGTAGTTTTTTTAATGTTTTCACACCGAAGCAGAAACTGTCATTGATAAATAAAATGTCTATTCATTAAATCTAGACTCTCAGACTGGGTTTTACTTATATTGTTCCTTTTGTTTGTTTTAACAATAATTTTCCATTTCTTAATTAGAAATAGGCCTTTAAGAGTAATACATGACAACTTATAATTGATCCATTGCACTGCACTGTCTTTTGTGTAAAAATGTCTTGTTGTACTTTGTTTTTATGACGCATTATTATAAAAGTCTAATCTCGTCGTGCAATTTTTATCACAAAGCCTTTGAGTTAAATCAGAGACATAATATATTCTCTGGTTAAATGTACATTTTTACCCATACGGATAGATAAAAAATAATAATTGAACAAGGAATAAAATAAATAATTCACTACTGAATAAGATTTTAAATGATCAGAACAATTGGCTTCACAATCTGCTACAGATTTTTGTTCATTTCATCTTTTTTGTATCTTTTTCATCTATATTGATAAATTTTATGTTATTTATAAGCCAAATGAACAATAAAAAAAAATATTTGTAATTAAATTGAAAAAATGTAACATCTAAAATAGAACATATTTAAGTCCTAGAAACAAAACAAGAGAAATAAAATATGAAAAGAATTTGAAAAAAAAGAAAGCGTGTTCGGCAAAAAAAATCTTATTAAAAAGGTCAACAATAATTCTAGGATTAACTCCCCTTCACCATAAATTTATTTCAAATGATGACAAGTAATGTATTCATTGATTAACGCGATATTAGAAGTCTACCTGCAGTGTAATACAAGAATGACATGTGAGAGGAATTTTACACCGTAGGGATTCTTGAAAATTTATCCAACGATATTCATAACATGACATATTCGTATCAGAAATTAAATATGTATTGTGTGACGCAACTGAATACCTTTTGAAAATCCAGGTAATCTTCGATGATAAGACCGTTACCTGCTGTGAATTCAGGTGTCAGAAATTATCCGTAAATATATCAACCTAACGATAATTCCTATCTGATTTTGACATTTCTTTCGTGATTAAGATTTACAAATCAGGTAGATGTTAATTTCGAAATTGACAATTTTACAGCTTAATTATCTGAATAGATACCGGATATAGGAATGTCACAAAATATCATAATATGTGATTTTTTTTTACACAAAAATAAAGTGTAATATAGTGAAGTCATAAGTCCGCTGGTAAATTAGTCAAAATGAGTAATTACAACATAAACATAGCCTACCTCAAGGCGTATGTCAGAGAATAAATTATCATAAATTAACAAAGAAAAATGAGCATTAGTAATTAAAAATTAGACCGGATGAGACAAATTTTCTCACTTGTACTCAGAACAAATTGGAAGCCCGCGAGTAAAACCATATATTGTATTGCAGTGGGGAATTTTTACTTGCTTCACAATTAACCGCATAATTAACTTTTAATGATTAATTAAAAAGTCCTGTTAATTTGAAATTTACTACTACGGTCTTTTTTATGGTTTTAATATATATTTAAAAGGATTCTGAATACGTCAATAATCGGATAATAATTTAAAAGTTTCCAAATTAAAACTAATGTTCGAAAGTTGTTGAGAAGGATTCCGAGTACATGAATTGAAAAATGATGTTCGAAAGTTATTGAGAAAGATTTACAATTCATGCATTAAAAATAATGTTCGAAATGTATTGAGAAAGTTTTTGAAAAATAAGTCATAGGACCTGCTAGGGAACTAGATATTTCTGCAAATGGTGTCAGACTCTTCTAGAGCACTGGAGTTTTATGGTGTTTATCTGTTTTAGCTTTATCATGATTTTATGACTCCGAATCCCTTTTTCTTTCTCTCAATCTTTTATCAGTATATATGACCCTAGTTCTACAGTTTTTAGTGGGATCTGTGGTTCAATCTTTATTTGTTTTGTGTTTTGTATACCGTTGTTGGTCTTTTTGATCCTATTATTATAGTTTTTTTTATATCAGAGAATTGGTCCTTCAATGTTTTTTTATAATGTGCATACACCGATGATAAAAATTCTTATTTACAGGTCAAAAGCCAACAAATCCTGCTGTAAAATTTAACTAGTTGTCTTTTTAAGATCCGTATACTATTTTCTACCTACCATGATTATGGATTGACAACCTTGTCCCTTTTGCTTAAAAAACTGTTGATGTACCTCTTTGGTGAAATCCGTGTTTTAATGTACTGTATAAAGGCTTCGGCATGCAGTTTTATTTTTAAATTATGAAGTTATTGATAGATCTTTTACCTATCAAGAAGGTTCAACAAATTTTGAAATATTTAAAAGTAAATATTGTGATATGGACGACAGATATATAAGATAATTAATAATTATTGTAAACAAACAATCACGCCATCAGACAGCAGACTTTGTACGTCGTCTGGCCGTTGTCTGACCCTCTCACCTGACATTTTATCCTTGTCATTCATAAAATTCATAAAATCAAAGTATCCAAACTACATTTGAGATTTAGTTTATACAATTTATTAACTCGAACTATAACATAAATGTTATTCAGAACTAGCTATTAGAAACACGTGGTTTTTCGCGCCAAATTGTGAGGGAATTTGCGGGAATAACAAATATCATGTGATGTGTATTGAACCAGTATTATTTTATTTAAAATGAATCGACTTTTCTGCAAATAGATTGGAAGTCAAATGTCTCCGCTACACTGAATACACCCATTGTTGTAAATCCATCTGAACACACCACCCCCTTTAAAGAATCTTGTGACATCATTGACTTTCAAGGTCGTGACAACCATACGTTCAAAAAATCTTTCCTAATAATCAAGCTCTAACAGTATTCGTGAAATAAAGTCCATACATACGTTACAAAATCATAAAAGTTTCTAAAATGAAAACAAAATGCTAAAAAAATCCATTAATTTTATTGATAATTTCAAATGTTCAAATTCTGTACAGAAAAAAAATTATACACACTTGTTTACAACAATTTCGTAATACTGATAAAATTACTTTGCTGTTGTCCAATCAAAATCATCGACCGACTTATTCAATTATCTGATGGCTCCTCCTACTTTGCTGTAAATAATTACTTCATTTAGCCACGCCCCCTATGGAATATATACGCATCGAAACCGCATGTTTTCAACAGTTGTGTCAAAATAATCGTACCTAGTGGATAAACTTAAATTAACAGTATTATTAATATTATTGAAAGGACATTATGTCTAGTGCTCAAATATCTGCATTCTATGATGTTGGTGATGTTCTTCAACAGGTAAGCAACAATAATTTAAAACTTTGATAGTGTAATGATTTTAACTGATGGAAAGTCTCATGATTTATAAATTATGTACAGTATTTACTTCATATTTAAAATTGTGTACAGCTATATTAAAATTGTCTAATCGTGAAATTATTATATCTATATTCAAATCAATACACGATATGTCTATTGCAAGCATGTTGTTAATTGTTAGTTTTAATGTATGAAATAAATCAATTTCATTTACAATTTTTCCTCGTATAAATAAAAACACAAATATTGTAATAGTAAATTTTAACGCTGTTGTTATGTTATTATTTATTCCGTATGCAAATGAATATGTCGGATTAGCATTTAAAACTTTATCCCCGTTGATTTATTTTAGTATTTCATTTTAAAAAGGAATTATTATAGATTTTTATATCGTTCTATTATCTGGTCATTTAAAATCCCGTCAAATCGCCTTACACACAAGTACACTTTAATCTCGTGTTTATCAACCACCTTGCAGATAAGACACCTTGTTCAAGATGAAATTAGCAAGCAAATTTTATAATCTTGTTTTGTTTATATTTGTAGAATCGCAGAAACCAGCAGATGAAACAGTTCAATGAAAGAAGGGCTACAATTGGTGCTATGATGTCTAGAAATGGAAATATGTCTTCAAGTTCTTTCATTACAATTACACAACAGAATGGTGTAACTGATCTTAATCAGAATGAGAATTTACATCGCAAGTTGGATAGGAGTATAAGTGAACCGATCGGTGACCGAGCTTTGAGCAGTTTGAGTATTCAAAGGAATAATGTTAACTCCAGTCGTTACAAAACAGAATTGTGCCGACCCTTCGAGGAAAGTGGACATTGTAAATACGGGGATAAGTGTCAGTTTGCTCACGGTGGTCATGAACTTCGTACATTGAATCGTCATCCCAAGTATAAAACAGAACTCTGTCGTACATTCCATACAATTGGATTTTGTCCGTATGGACCTAGGTGTCATTTCGTTCACAACGAAGACGACCAGAAACTGGCCGAGATGGTAAAGAATCACGAAGCCATGCTAGCGCAGCGTCGCCAGCCATCATCACCACCACCATCAACAAACAATTCCGCAAGACGACCTTCAAATATTTCATTCGCAGGATCTGATTACAGCCCTCCGTCCAGTGACAGCCCGAGTCTTAGTCCGGCATCCAGTGACGACTTCAGCCGTCTTTCATCTTGTTCAAGTAGTATGTCAGGAAATTCGTCAACTTCCAGCAGCCCTGTGTTCAATTATTCCGCTGATCTTCAGACAATAGCTTCATTGCTTCAGCCTTTGAATGTTCAAACTCAAATGAACAATGTAAATAACTCTTCAATTGACTCTTTGAGCCAGCAGTTAAATGCAATTTTGAACTTGTCTTATCAACAACGTAATATGAACAACAACCACAACGTGTTCGGGGATTCGTGGGACGTGACACCAGCACCCCCATCCCCACCAGATAGTATCTCAGGCGATAGTGTGGGCAGTGCTAGCAGCTTAAGTAGTAGTGGCAGCTTTTCTTCATCTCATAACACTTACGGGTCTCCATTAGACATTAGCAAGCAGTTGCAGATTCGTCTTCCAATATTTAACACGCTTTCCCAGGACGATTAATTTTTATGTTTTGTTCCGTGTAATTTATATTTATTATTTATTTATTATTTGACAATTTGACATTGATTTACGCGTTTGGTAAATTAGTGCCACTTTAAAAGTGGAGTTTTTTACTTGACTATTTGCGGGGCCTCGTAAAACAACTTTCATTTTTTTTTGCCACTGAAAGTGGAATGTTCTTTAATTAGGCTTTTTGTCCCTTCATGTTGATAGGGCATTTTTAAAGTTAATTATTCCAGTTCTTGTTGAGTATAATAGTATTATGTTTTTATACAACCCAAGAAACGGGTTTTTATACAAATGTGCTAGCTATTGAAAGAAAGTCCGCATTTCGTCCAATTAACTTTGCATTTTGGATGTAAATTTTTCATTTAGATGTTAATATTTGTTATTTATGAAACTATGCATTTTCATACTGACCAATAATTTGGCGTTCACGCTATAATAGTAAATTGAATATATTTTTTGTTTTATACAAGTTATGAAATCACCAAAGATGTCGTTATTATTAAACTTTTCACCTTTTCCATGAGATCCATCTTGTTCATAATTCATATCATTTTGTATTTATATGGCAAGAGAGCCGATGTTTGAAAACATTAAAAATGTTATTTATACCGAATATTTTTTTATTCTATATTCATTCACTCTTCCCCAGCATTCCCACGCTTTGAAGAAAAGCATGTAGGTCAACAGGAAATAAAAATTACAATGTAATAGCATTGATAACGACCCATTCATAATTGACATCAATTTTGTTACATTGTAATTCTCCCAAACCCCGTCACACTTCAATGGCTTCGATGCACCTGTTCGTAAATCTTGTGGTTTTAACAAAAGGCTATGGATAGTAGGGCAGATTGATTTCTTGTGTCAATATTGGTTTTATGTTCTGGCATTTTTACTTGCACAAATAAATTATAAACTAGATATTTTGGTCCCAGGTGACGGATTTATTTTTTTATTGTTTTGTTTTCTGCTGGGATATTAGTGGACTATTTTGTCATCTTCAAAAACGACCAAAAATGTCCGGGTTTTAATTGGGAGAGGTTGAGGTTGGAAATTTATCATTGTAAATGGTATTTAGTAGAATCGAATTTCATTTATTTATTCGTCAGGATTTCCACATTGACCAAATTCAAAATAAATGCATTGTCATTTGAATTTGGTGATTTGTGTAGCGTTAACCTCAACAAATGAGTAAATTTGAAACATCTCACGAATTGCATCCTACGAGTTGAAACAACAAACATAAAAAGTCCCATCCTGTAACGCATCCTTTAAAATATTTGATGAAATTGAATTTTCAGAGAAAAAGGTATTTGGATATAGAAGTAGCAATATTTTTTTGAAGAATTGGAATTTTCCTCTGAAAATGATATTTAATGGAAATGAAACGTGTCCCTGTCCCGATGTGAATTACTACCAGCAACGATATACATGTGTGCTTTTCTTTTATCACTAGGTCTGAAATGAACATGTACTTAACTAAAGACACACTAGAAAAAACATTTAAAAAAATCATCGTATAGATGATACACAATAAATATGTACACGCTTGAAAAAAATCATTTAAAAAGTCGTCGTAATAATGTTACACTATACACATGTCAGTACACACTAGAAAAAAAAAACATCGTTTTAAAGATAGATATTGTGGAGTGGAATAGTTCAGTTGGGACAGAATTCGCAATATTCGTGGTGTCGGGTCTTTGATTAATTAATAATCTGATATGGCCTTATCACTCATCTTCACAAAGTTATCAAGTTATCAACGAACTATGGCCGCATTGTCATATAATGGCCGTGTTGTGCACTAAACATAAACAACTGTTTCAACACATTGACATTTAAATAGGATGCAGCTCGATGTTTGAAAAATAGAACAACACTTGTGGAAACTAGTTCCAATGCAACCCAAATAACCAGTTCAAATTATATCTATTGATAAAGTTGTTAACTTTTTCGTCATTTGTGGAGAGTTGTCTGGCAATCATATCACATCAATAATATTAAATTGGACCTGTACCCCGACATTCAAACTAGTGTTGGTCCGAATTGAAAACATGGAAGCACTATGGATTTAGGATTATTGTCTGGCGAGATAGTTATAATTTACATGACAGATGACTCTTAAACTTTCACAGTGCAAATGGTCGGTCTTTAAGTGCTTCCATATTATTATTACTGTTATACACACCACGTACTCCGTTAGTCATGTTTGTGTTAAAGTGAACATTCCTGCTCAGGTTAAAAACAGTTTCTGAAGAAATCCATTTTATCAACTAGTTTAAAAATATTTTCTGTCCGACTGATTGTTTTCTACAACATTAACAAGACAACAACAAAAAAGAAACATTAATTCGTGTCACAACGAAAATATAAACTTGTGTGTAGCACACGAGCAAGCTCAATGTAAATCCCAAGAAAATATGTCGTTACATGTGCATTCAACTCAAACTTAAAAAAAAAAGTTTATTGTCTCGTAAATCAACATAAGATTTGTGACATTCGTTTACACATTCATTTACAAGGTTGAAGAGATGCTTCAAATATAGGTCTTGCCAAATTTGCAAGTAAAGAGACCAAAAGGTGAATAAAAACACTAAAGGGACGACCTGATTTTTTGCGTATTCAAAATTCATTTTTATTTGTTGCTATATAAAACAAATAAGAAGATGTGGTATGATAACCAATGAAAACTCCACCAGACCAAATAATGAAGCTACTATCCTGAGGTCGCCATATGGCATTCAACAATGAGCAAAACCCATACTGGGGCCCGCATAGTAAGCATTTTATATAAATAGCCCCGAAATCATAAATGTGAAACAATTCAAAAGAGCAAATCAACAGAGATTTATGAAAAAAACAATAAACGAAACCTGCATGTAAATTTATTTTCAGCAGCTTTTGTGCAAAATAATTTCCTGCTTTATGTATTGCAGAATATTGACTTTCTTCCTATCTGCCAAATATGCAAATTAAATACAGAGATTCGGAAACAATAGTAAAATTGACGTAATACTTAGTATACACATTGACAATAACCCCGGATAAAACTATGACAGATGCATATTGCAGGAAACCCGTTTTAACACAAAACAATCTCTCGTAAATATGATTTATTTTCAATTTGAAGTATATATATATGTATGTGTTTACATGTTTTCTCTCTACCTACGGCAAGTGATGTGTATTGGAATCCATCCATCATTTCACTGTAGGAAATGTCATCCTGCAATACACAACTGGACGATGTGTGACGTAAAGCGACAGTCGTTCGTCATCTCACTTCATAAAACTTACATAGGTGCCATCATAGTCGCCTGCCTGACCGCGACCTTAAGTACAAATAAATATATGACCATAATTGTATATTTGTATATACTATGTAGATAAATACCTTGTAAATGACCTTATAGGGTTACGATACAATGCAATGAAATGTGCATATTTACCATAATGTGTAGCAGTGATTGATATGTTAAAGTCTTTCTTAATGAAATGTTTTAAATTTCATTGTCCCTTTTCATCATGTCTCCAGCTGCATAGGAGGGGATTAAAATCGAAAAAAAAACTTTAAAACAAAACAATAATAATCTCTTTTATTGTTGAAAACACGAAAGCAGCTTGTGACAACAACTAACAAACCAACATGTGACAAACAAAATTCAAATTCCATAGAACAAACATATACAAAAAATTCTACAACATAAAAACGTTAGTTGTTCCAATTTTTTACATTGGTCGGTTGTCTTTCAACTTATGCAACCTTTATTTGGAAGTCCTGGATCTGCGTATGTTAGGTCGTTCAAAATGTGATGAATCTTTGTTCGTCTCTGAGGATTTTTCATACGTAACTTGCAATATACAATATATGTGTGTGCCTTATATTTAACTTGATAAGTTTACTAGTATCACGAATAAATGGAATTGCGGGGTAAACGACAAGAAATAGATATACGAAAACGCAAAAAAAACAAATAAAACCACCGAAAATACATCAAATATGCTTATTTCTGAATGACAAGTATATATTTTTTATATTATATGCCTGTTATACTGTATTTGTAAAGTCATATACTCGCTATATATATATATATATACAACGATCATCTTTAAATCCGTACTATGTAAATGACGGACTAAAAGCCATGCACATGTACTGTTGGCTATGGTTAAGTCTGGTGGAACCGGATTTATTTCACTATTTTTTATTGGCTTTGAACTATATATTTCTGTGACTACGAGTCCGTTAGGGAGCTACCATTTGATTTTTATGGGAGGGGGGGGGGGCTAGGATGAAATTTGAAAAAAAGGCAGGACAGGAGTTTTGAGTAAAAACAAAAGGCAGGATGAGCAACTTGGCAAAAAAAAAGGCAGGATGACAATTTATGTAAAAAAAGTCAGGATAAACTATTAAAAAAAGGCAGGACTGAAAAGAGTGAAAAATAAAAAGGCAGGACAGAGATTACAACTAAAAAAAAATGCAGGACAAAATTTTTCATCCTAGCAATCATTCGAATATGACAAAAGTAAAGCGTTTGCCGATGCCACGGAAAACGGGAAAAGGGTTAAAGAAATATCTTAGTTTAGACTCATTTCACAAAATATATTACGTACTAAAAACAATCTTAAGTCATGAAAATTTCAGTATAACTTACTATCAATTTTAGTCGTAAGATTTTTTTGTGAAAAGAACCCAGATTCTTCTTTGAAACACACTAGTGAAGTACGAACCACTGATCTTTTTCGGAGCACCTTTATTTCATATTCACCCTGGTTTTGGTGGGTTTCTTTTGATAAAATTTTAGATACATATGTGAAGTGTTTTATAGGGACTGTTGTTTGTTGTTTTTCTTTGCCTTTGGTCATGGTGATGTCTATCTTTGTCGATTGATAGTAGTAGGTTGTCCCCTCTCCCTCCCCCACCATTTCAGTTTCTGCTAATTTTTTATGTTTATGTATGAAATCAAAATAAAAAAATAATCCGGCGGTTAACTTGACTACGTTCCAAGTTGAACGCTGTAACTTGTTTGACTGGCGGCCGGTCAGATAAAATTAACGGTCAAGAAAAATAGTTGCCCTGGGTAATCATAAAAAATGTCAACCATCAAAACATATTGTTTACGCTATGGTGAATGCACGACAATAAGATATGCAAATGAGATGTCATCTTTGTAAATTTATTACTATCTTGTCAGTGTAATAAAGTTTGCTGAACAAGGGATTTTGGCCAGTGTATTTATACATGTCACGGAGGCAAACATGCTAAATTTTCAGTAAAAACTATCTGATGTGTTACATCCATCACGGCATGAACAGAACCAAACCCACCCCCGCAAAGTATAAGCAGCAGCGTATGCACGTGATCTATACATCATACAGTAATGTATCAATACGATTTGAGGTCTGTTCGATTACAATGTGATGTAATGATGTATTGACTTTGTTCCTTCTCTTTTCAATGGGGCATTTAAAAAAATGAAAAGTTTAAAACATGCTTTTTATTTTCACTTTTAAAGAACAGTGGAGGCTTTCCAGAGAAGTTTTCAAATTGGTTTTGGCTTATGGATGGTCCTTCAAGTATTCGAACTATTCAACACTTATCATCACTAA